GATTCCTGGCAGGGCAACGCTGAGGCGGGGCGATTGGGCTTCCAGACCCTGAAGTCTGACTCTCTGGGTATGAATTGGAGCTGCTGCTTACTAGCTGTGACTGGGCGGGCTTCACTTTCCTCTGTGAATTGGGGATCATGAAAGTCCCTACAACTGCAGTGGGGCTAGAGACTAGAGGAGGCTATGTACGGAAAGAGCTGGCACAGTGTGGAGAGAAGCCTGGCCCCGCTTTGGCCCCTCAGTGAGGGCTCGGGGAGACAGTTCAGAGAAGTGCTTAGCACAGACCTTGCCCCACGGGGAAGGAGTAAATATTTTTACTCCCCAAGCTCCTTACCCCATCCTGCAGGGGACGGTCATCCTGAGGGGATGGGGGTGGTTTTAGGGGGGAGCAGTAGAAGGATCTGAAGACCCTCAGCAAGTTCAGAACTGGAGACTCACAGGTCTCTGAGGTGCTTGTCTTAGGAAACCAGAAGGACCAGTTCTTCTAGCCAGCAAGTCTCTTGAGGAGGGTCCTGGATCAGTGTCATTGACCTTTGTTTTCAGCTCACTCAGTGTCAGCCCCAGGCCAGGGCCAGGCACTGAGAGGAGTTTGTTGATGACCGAATGATGGACTGAATAAAGGAGAGAGAGGCTGTGGCCATCGACTGGGGATGGGAGGGAACGCTGACTTTCTTTGAATTCCAGGTAGGAGGTTGGAGGCATTGTATTAATGACTGATTAATAGTTAATACCTGAGCCATTTATTAAATGAACTTAAACTGGATATTTTCTGTTCCTTCTCAGTTTATTGAAGGCTTTTTGGAGATTATGCTTTGTTAAGCAGTGCAGTAAGGATTTTTGTTTCCTGTGTAATAGGAAAGCCTGCAAGTCCTTGTCATTTGTTTGGTGTTCATCACAGTGATCTGTGGTAGAATATTCTGGAATAATGGGGCAGGGGTGGGCTGGGGCGGGCAGAGGAGACTGTTGGCCGCTGGGAGGAGAAACCAGCTTCCTGTCTGGAGCTTGGGTCTGGCGTCCAGGTGGTCACCTTTTTACTCCACGTCTGCGCAGACCAGTGAAGGGAGACGCAGTTCTCACAGGCCTTGCCCCAGCGCACCCCTCCCCGCCTAGCAGCAGCTGCTCTTATCTCAGCTGCTCTGCTCGGGCACTTCGGTCTCTGGCCTGAGTGTTCTCTGAGCCCACCAGGCTTATCCCTAACTCAGGACTGGCCTTCCCAGCCGCTTTGTCCTGTGCCCCCTCCTCTGTCAGAGTGTTCTGCCCCATCTCTACACTGCACGCCCTCTTGTGCTTGATTTTTCTTCAGCACAGCAGTGAAGAACTACCTGGCATTGTGATTTTTGGTTTTGTCTGTCTTCCTCACTGGAGGGACGTGTTGTGAAGGCAGATGAGATGCTGAAAATGTTGCCTGGCCCACAGTAGTGACTCAGAAATATTATAATAAGTTGAGGAGATGTTGCAGTTTCTTTCAGACCGAACCCATGTGGGGAACGTGGCGATTCTCTAGCACAGGAACCAAGGTGACCCCTGTGGAGGGGTGTGGCGTCTGGTTCTGTCAGGCTCCATGTGCACTTGATCAGAGCCAGACGTCCGAGAAGCGACATCAGGATCCATATAAATGCAAGCTCCGTTTATGGGTGTTAGAGAAACTTTCTTTTAAAAGTTCTTTGGTTCCACAGGTTTACTTCTGAATTGGTGGCCAGGCATGGAGAGCTTTCCCATTTTCTAAAACAGTCTTCTTATGTTGACCCCGAAGAATACCAGCCTCAGATTCAAGAAATTCAGGCACACAGGTAGAAAGTACTTTCTGACAGGTGACCCTGTTATCTTTCTGTTCCTGTTTGAAAAAAAGATGTAAGTTAGCTCACAGGAATCACTTACTCCTTCTAGTGTTTAGGTGGGATTAAGCATTTCATTCTGTCTGCGTTGCCCTCTGGGGGCTGCTGAACCCAGAAGGATGCTGACAGTTGTTTTCCGTTGTGACCAGAGCTGCGCAGCAGAGGAGGAGGAGGGAGGGGCTTCTGTCCGGCACACCTCCCGCGAGCCGCCCTCTTCCGCTTCTCCAACCACTGAGCTTCTAAAATGTTCTGGGCAGTTTCCAGCAGCCCAAGTGGTCAAGGGAAGGTCCCAGCTGCCTGTGTCTGAATCGGGACGACTTCCTGGGGCTTCAGCTGAGCCCCCTGTGGTGTGAAAGATCCTAAAATAAACAAAAAAGGCTTTCTGATGCTGGGTAAAGGAGCCACAATAGTGGCTTCTCAGGAAGCCGGTAAATTAATGTGTGGGAATTTTCCTTGTTTCTCCCCGCTGTGGCAGCTCTGCCCAGGGCCTTTATACTCACAGGTGTTTCTGACGTGTTAGCACGCGTGGTCTCTCCAGCTTTTGCTCAGGTTCTACGTTTCCCGTGCGTATGTCGGGTCCTGCCTTGGGTGCAGCTCCTGCTGACAGGTTCCTGGAAACGCAGAGGCCATAGGGCAGAGCTGCTCAGGTTACATTCCTGCAGGATCTTTTTTTTTTCTTCTGCTTTTTTGAGGTATAACTGACAAATAAAATTGTAAGGTATTTAAAGTGTGGAGTATATATATATACACATATGGTAAAGGTTTCTCTCCATCTGGTTAATTGCTGCCCACCACCTCATGTACATGTCTTGGTGTGTTTGTGTGAAGAGCATTTAAGTTCTGCTCTCAGCAAATTTCAGTGATATCAGTGATATAATTCAGCGTTATCAAATATAGGCGCCATGTTTTACATTAGGCTCAGGCCTCAAAGAGCAGAATCTTATCAAAAATACCACATTAGGTGGGACCTCTGGTTTCAGATGGAGATTCCAGTCTTGGCCACGACAACCTAGACAACTTCCCGAAGCCTCAGATTCTGTGTGTGTGTGTGTGTGTGTGTGTGTGTGTGTTGGGGGGGGGGAGAAGGGGGCTCGAGGGGGGACCTGGGAGCAGTTGCTGACAGTCCCCACCCCGCTGTTTGGAATAAGCTCTGTCGTGCCTGTCGAGGGAGTTCTGTGTACACACTCACTTCTTCCTAGTGTTGCACTAATAGCGCCTTCCATTGGCAGGGCTGGCTAGCTGACTCCCTTCCTCAATGCTCCTGGGCAGGTTACCGTGGTGCCGGATCCTTTTCAATCTTTGCCTTAGGGTAGCCTCTGAGAATAGAGGAGAAAACTCCCTGTGCTGCTAGCACTCAACCTTGGCTAGTGCTCGTTACTACTGCTTACTTTACCAGTGGCTTAGGGTACCAACTACCGTACTCTGCCTTGAAAAAAATGCATTCATGTTTCCAAAAATCCAGCTTACAGATTAAATTTTTTTAAATGAGGATACCATATTTATTTTCTTTATTTACTTTTTTAAAGATTTATTTTTTCATGGAAGAACTGTAGGCCACAGGTGCAGGGTGGTGGTGGTGAAAGGATTCACCAGAGACAGAGCGGGGAGTAAAACAGCTGTTTCTACTGAAATCCACTGCTGGTGGGAGCAGCAGTGAGCCAGGAGAGGTCTGCTGCGCCATGTGGGACAGCTCCCTGGCCGGGGATCGAACTCATGCTGCAGTGGTGATAGTGTTGAGACTCAACCCTTAGGCCACCAGGGAGGCCCAAGATACCATATTTAGAAATGACAAATTTGTGTGCTGATTTGTATTTGTACTTCAGCTAACTGAAGATACCATGAGGCTTTCTCCTGGGTGGTTTTAATAGTCCTGTGCTAGGGAAGCTCGAGCCTGGTGAGATTGTCGGGACTGAGGTGCCATCAGAGAGGATGGAGGCAGCTGTGCTTCTGAGTACCCTGTGCCAGGCAGGACGTCCTGTCTCTGGCTGCCTGCTTTTGCGATTCCAACTCGAAGTGACCCGAGGTGGACCTTCATACTGACTTCCTTATTGCTATGGCATTTCTTCCTCTTAAAGCCAGCCTGTTGACATAAAAAAGGAAAACTGAAATATGGGTAGCACGCAAATTTGGAATGATATTCTTTTCTTGGCACAGAATGTTCTTAAAAACGAAGAGCTTTGTTGTTGTGGGAAAATTAATCTTTTCAGCTTGGGGCTTGCTTTATGCTAATGTTGGTTTCTTTGAAAGTCCTTAGGACATGTTTCCTGCTGCAGTGAAATAAAACACAGTCTCGTACTACCAGGCCCATCATTCTTCATGCTGCCATGACATGCTCCTCATACTGCGGGGCTAGGTGGGACCAGTTAAGACGCAATTGGTTTTGCTTTGATTTGAAAGTTATTTTTAAAATAACAATCATGTTCTACTTGCGGACTCCAATCTCCTCCTCCTTTTACCTTACATTCATGTCTGATAGAATCTCGCTTCTGAAGATGATCATGAACCTAGACATACATCTTGATTAGTCATTGTGTAAAAATCTCTGTTAGTGACTTTGTGACATTGTAGAGACTGGGCTGGGCCGCAGTGGTAAATTCCTGCTTCCTGGGAAGGTGGCACTTCCATGGAGGCCCCAAGAGAAGCGGCAGTGTCCTTGGTTAGAATTCAAGACCCTGCCCAGCGGGTGCTGTCAGTGGAGGGGTGAAGGCTTATGTGGGGCGGGGTCCAGCTGGCCGGCATCTCCTTTATATTACGCGCCCCAAGAATTTAAGTAGGAGTACTGACCCTTACTTTTAAAATGTTGTAAGTGTTATTTGGTAGCCTTTGACTTAAAAGCAAATTTACATTGTATCTTGCTGCCAGATTCCCAGGGAGTTTAAAGCAATATGGTGCCAGAGATTTACATATATTGAAAATGGCTACAGGTGGCTGGAACAAAATAGATTAACACAGACATGCTTGAAGAAAGTAGTGGTTTCTTTTAGAGACTGACAAACAAACATCAAAGCAACTTCTGAAACGCTTGACATCATCAGCCGGGCCTGGCTTGCCAGTTTCAGGTTTCAGTTATATTTTTGCATATTTGCTTATTGGACCAGAAAACAAAAATAACGTTAACTGGGTTTTCTTCCTCATGAAGTAGCTCTCCTGTGTCTTCACTTGCAGAACGCCCCTGAGCCTGTGGCAGCCCCCGAGACTCTGGCCGAGGTGCCTGAACATGTGCTTCGAGGACTTCCGGAGGAAGTGAGGCTTTTCCCATCTGCTGTTGACAAGACTCGGATTGGTGAGTACAGGGATCGCGGAGGGAGGTGGGGAAGGGAGAGCAGGCTGCCTCTGGGGGCACTTGAGGTGGGCCGGGCTCCCTAAAAGCCAGATGGACTCTTGGACTTGGAAGATGTGGTGTTTATGCATTTTCCAGTCAAGACTCCAGGGTGGACTTAGATGATAAAATGAAACCAGGACTGAAACAGCAACGCACCCTGCTCCCTCCCTCCATGACTCTGAGCACCCCTGCCTGCGTCTGTGATGGCGTCTCTCTCCTCTCTGATTTCACTGGGCCTTAAGGTGTGATTATGCTACTATATTTATTTATGTGTAATTGTTTTCTGTTTTGCCCCTTTCACCCACTGTGAGTGCCTTCATTCTTACTTGTCTTGTGTCTCAAACTCCTGACACTTTTTGGACCTAGGTAGGGGCTGAGCGGGAGATGTGGCCACGTGGTTCCAGATGGGGCGCCGGGCTCTCTCAGGGCGCAGCAGCCTGGCTTCGGTGTTGGTATTCTGATTTCTGCACAGAGGCTCAGGGAGTAAATGACACAGTCTTGGATTACTTCCTATTTTTGAAGATGTGCTTCTGATATTACAGTTTATGTGTACATATGTATGAATCAGTTTTAATAAATGTGTTTCCTAATTTTAATTGAAAAATGAGGCATGAAGTAATTTGAGCATTTATATCATACTCACATCAAAGTGGTTGGTTTTATAGCTCAACAAATTGCTTCTGAGCTGTGGTATCAGGTGGGATTCTTAGCAGACTTACAGAAAATTGCTTGAGCATCCTCCCTGGATAGGACCGGCCTATCCCCCCTCTGCCCCCGCCCCTCTGTTTGTGAGGAAACTGAGGCCAAGAGATGAGGAAACCTGTCCCAAGTGGTGTCAGTGGGCGTCATGTTGGGTGCTGGCCCCTGACTGCGTGGCTGCCTCCTGGCATTTTCCTCACGGGGCCTCATCTCTGTGGTCCGGGCAGCGGAAGTAGAGATTCCTCTGAGAAAACCACAGAGCAGCATAAATCTTGGCTGTTTGAAACTCTGAAAAGTGAGTTGATCCAGTAGCTAAGTTTGTAGGAAACTCAATGAGAAAGGAAAGGCCTGTACACTTTGGCCAAACTTCAAGACATTTACTCATAAACCTTTAGTGCTTTTGCGAAGGCAGCTCGTGTTCATGGGCGACAACTTCAAATTGGAAAAGTAGAAAAAGGAGTTCCACGTTATTGGTGGTTTCAGTACATCCTGATATTTTTTTCTCTTTGTTTATTGTGTTATTCTTCAAGAATTTTTGTGGCTTCATCTGGCTAGTTTTACATGTCAACATTTAAAACATACAAATAGATAACATTGTTTCCTGGAAAGTACAGAAGAATGTAAACAAGAAAAATAAAATTTTGAAGATTTGATTTAACTTAATTTCACTTGAGCTCAGTTGACTTAGCATTGTCTTGCTTTTAGGCAGTCTGGCCTTTTAACTCTCTTGTGGAGTTGAATTGCTTTTAATGTTGTCAGTCTTTAAAATAGCCAGTATACATCATAAAAGTATTGGTTTTTATTTTCTAGGTGTCTGGGCCACTAAACCAATTTTAAAAGGCAAAAAGTTTGGGCCATTTGTTGGTGATAAGAAAAAGCGATCTCAGGTGAAGAATAATGTGTACATGTGGGAGGTAAGAAAGAATTCCAGTATTGGTTTATCAGTTAGGTGTTTTCTTTAAAGATGTCATCCTATTTGACGTTTTAAAATTAAAACAGTCATCTTACAATGTTCTTTAAAATCAAGAATTTTATTATTAAAGAGAAAATGTGTTTCCTTGGATGCAGACTGCAGTTTACATTTGTGTTTTGAAACTGCTTGGCTTCCTCAACAAGTGTCACGTCCACTTTTCGTGTCGCCGTATTTAGTGTGTTTTGCATTGCAGCCAGGATTTGATTTCCTGTGTGAGGCCTGCCACTTACGGGTCTGGGTGGACAACGCAGAAGGCACTCCAAGTAGACTGCAGATAAAACCCTGTTAGGGTCTTCTCTGTGTTTCAGGAAGTAATCTCTGCTGCTGGAATATTCTGAGTTGGATGTACTGAGTGCCTGCATGTGTGTGTGGTTCCTTGACCTTCTTGAAAGGTTTTTATGCTATTTGTTTTGTGTTCTCACAACACCCTGGCAGACAGAGCAGTGCGTTGGCTCGCTGCTTTCAGAAGTAACCTGTTCAAGAGCGTAGGGGATCTGCTCCTCCCGGTGGGGCCCACGTGTCAGAGGGGTGTCAATCCAGCAGGGAGCCCAGGCCTCTCTCCCGACAGGGTTCTCATGGGCTCGTCATGGTTCAGATCCCGCTGGGAGCTGGAGACTGGGCAGGACACCACTTATGCCCGGGCCCTGAAACCTTCCGTTTAAAAGTGGGGAGAATAAAAAACAGCCTCATCACCAGAGCAGTGAAGCTCAAATGTGCTGCTGTTTCCTGCGGAGCCGTGTTTATGTTGAGCCCAGCTGAGGTCGGTGCGGTGCCTGGCAAAGCTTGTTGCTGTGGGGTGCGGGGCGGTGAGGAAGAGCGTTCCCCTTGGTTGGCCTACATTGAATCACATCTGTTTTTCACACACAAAGACACGAAAGCCAAAAAGTAAAATATGCCTCGTAAGCACCGGGACACTTTCCATCAAGAGTGCCGCGGCGTGTGAAGGTTCCAAGTATGTTGCTGTTTTTCTCAGTCCTATAAACAGTGTTTCTTAACTTGAAAATTCCGGGTCCTAGTCACTTTGATTTTCTTTCTTACAATAAACCTGGTGACACTTAACCCAAGGGGCCTTAGGAAAGGTGGACTTGCCACAAGAATAATTACACTCTATGCTGTTCCACCACTTTTGAGGTAAAAGAGTGCTGTATTGGTAGGGAAACTGCCCAGCCAAAAAATGATAGTAATTAACTCGAGATAATGCCTGCGTGATTAAAAATGTCTTGACCACAAAATTATGCTCCAAAATAAACTGCGTTTTTAATTTTAGGTGTTTCCCAAGGGAAACTAGCAAATATGCTCTCCCAAGATAGCCCCAGTCCTAGTGAGGGTAATGTCAGAGAACCAGGAAGTGCCTCCATGGACACCAAGTTTATGGCACTTCTTTCACCCAGCGCCGTCAGGCAGATGGGCACATTGTGTAAATCATTAATGGTGCCTTTTGTAAATGCAGCTTCATCTGCACTGCAGTTCCTGCACAGTGTGAATCCACAGCAGCTTGGTAAGCGGGAGCCGGGACGCGTCAGGGGTGCGGCTCCTGTAGTACGACCGACCTCCCTCTGCGAACTTCCGGCACTTGCACGCTGCCTGGGCTTGTGCGTCCCGAGGACAGCGCCAGTTCTCCTGAGTTTGGTTTAAAGATTGACTTCTCGTGAAGGCTGGCTTGTCCTTCCTGCAGTTAAAATCGGGATGTCATTCAGAGTTCCTAATATAAGGGATGCATCTTTTATTTGTGGGCATAAATGGTGAAATAGAGCAAGCATATGTTATAATGTACTTACGAAGGAAAAACTAGAAATCCAGATTAAATTTACTGTTTCCCTCTTAGTCTGTTCCAATCATGGTCTTAGCCTCAAAATACCTCTTATTAATGTAACACAAACTGCTTATCATTAAAATCTTGCCATTTGTTAAAGCCCCTGAAGACCAGCTTATCTTTTAGCAGCCCAGTCTTTGCCCCAGCTAGAATGCCATTTGGAAGCTAAGCTAAGACAAAGTGTTAAATTGCTTTTCGTGAGCCCTTGATTATCTAATACAGTCTTAAGTCCTCTAAGCTTTCACAGAAAACATGCTATTAAATCAGAAATAACAGGAGCGAGCCAGTAGAGTATCCTCGGGGTGAATGCACTAAACAGTCAGGTTCTCAGCAGAGGAGCGTGTGCTTTGATCAGTTTCTGGCGGGGTGGCTGCTGGAACTTGGACTCCGTGGTGTGCTTTCCTTGACTGCCCCGCTCATGCCCGCTGTCCACAGTATTCTAAAGCCACCTTTGCTAAAAACCTCTCAGCGTTACTTCTAAGGTGCTCTGATGCTTCTCATGGACAGAACTTTTGAAATGTTTGCATAGGAATGGTTTTAATTAGTCTTTAAAAAAATAGACAATTGTTTAGAGCAGTTTTAGGTTCACAGCAAGACTGAACAGAAAGGGCAGCGCAGTCGGCAGGCCCCCTGCCCCTTGACACCCGCAGCTTCCCCTTCTGTCAGCATCTGTCAGTCGCTGAACCGGCATCGACATCATTGTCACTTGAAGTCTATAGTTCATGTTGGGGTCACTACTGGTGTTGCCTGTTCTAGTAAGTCTTTTTTTAATTATAAAAGTAAGAAATGCTGATTACAAAATAATATAAATGAGATGGTAAATTACTTACAAGAAAGTGAAAATCATATGTGAACATCTAACGCTGCTTCTCTGCCTCTCTTTTTCTTGGGCCTCGTACACACACAATCCCCAGATACAAACTTTGTGTGCAGTTTTGTGACCTGCTGTTTTCTTTGGGCTTGTGGACATACCTGTGTCAAATACTTACCTACATCATTCTTAAGCTCCCTAGAACGCTATGGTATTCTTCCCCATTTATTCAACTAGATAGACATTTAAATACTTCTAATCTTTTCGTGATTATACAGTTCTTCAGAGGACAAAGCTCACTGTATATACATATTTGCTGACTTGTCTGATTATCTTCTTAAGATAAACTCCTAGAAGTATATAATTGTTAAGTCAGAAAGTTATGTACATTTTAATCTTTGGTGTAGAGAGTTAAGCAATCTTCCTAACAGCTTAACTTGTACTTAGATTGGGAATGTGGTCTGATGCCAAGAGAATTCTCTTTGGAGTTTATTTATTCACTCACTGCACTGCAATTGGTGAGCCTTTCCCACGGGCTCAGCACCGCCCCCGACTCTGGAGCACTGAACTTGGCGTCGGGACGTTCGTGTACTGTGTGGACCCCTGGAAATTCCTCACAGGGATTTCTGGGATTCTAGAAATGCCCTGAATCCTCCCCTTGACAGTGCAAGTGCTGGGTGGCCCGCCTGGTGTTCTAAGCTCAAAGTACCGAGAGGGGGTAGACTTGCTAGGCAGCAGTGCTGATCAAATTCTTTATCACTTGGAGGACAGAACTTCTGTTGAGTGTTTTCATTGAAATATTTTTCTAACAAGACGAGGTTATCCTTTTTTCTGCCTTCTTACTTTTAAATGAGAGTAACAAGCCTTATAGATTTGACTGACAATAAATGAGATGATGTATGTGAAATCATTTGATATAGATAACTGGCTCGGAAATATTGGTTGAACCTGAACATCAAAGAAAAGTGAATGATCAGGTCGAGGGCAAAACCCTTTTTTTTGGTAGCTGAGCAGTTTTTAAAAGATTAGCAATCTTCATTTTTGCTTAGGGTTTTTTTTTTTCCTCCTCTAATGTTAGCGAAATACGGTCTATATTTTGAAACAAAATTTAGAATGTTATATGGGGGAGAACCTGGAATTGATTTTTGAAAACTCTGAGTTACTAATTACTGTGGGGGTCAATACGGTGCAATGAGGGCCCTCCTGTCACCCCTTTACTTCTTTGTTCTACTTAACAAGTGGAAATATAATTAGATATTGTCTGTCTTCCAGGAACAGACAGGGAAAGTGGGGAATGCTGTATAGATCATAATTCTAGCTTGGAAATTTAACAAACTGGATTCCCAGAGAAAAACATGAAAGGAGCCTCAGACGATATGACAAAGTAGCAGGGCCACTGCAGTGGAGCGTGGGCCCCATCTTTAGTGTGTTAGAACCCCAAGTTACATTCAGATGGAGAGACCAGGCAATGAAAATGGCTTTATTACTATAGACTCTCACTTTGGGGCCTGGTTTGAGTGATTCAAGGCCTATTTCAGCGCAGGAGCTGACACAGTGTCTTCATTTACCTGTGCTAATTCCCCAAAGGGGTGTCTGGGGTCACCCAGCGAGTGCGCGTGGAGAGGGTGGGCAGACAGTTGACTCCGTCACTGCTACATTTGCATTATTTGAGTGTTTTTAAAATTTACACATCTGAATTAATGCATATCTAGTATAATAAATAACTGATAAGCAAATATGTTAAAACTTTCACCCCCAGAGCCTGGGGTGTGCCATGTTGAACAGTTTGGCTTGTTCTTTGCAAGCCGTTATGTGTCATGTCGATGTAAAATTGTGTTTTTAAATTGGAATGTGTTCTTGACTTTTGAATTTAGATTACTTTCTGATGATTCATAATGACTGCATTCAATTGAATGAAAATTGGGTGGTACGAAGACTGCTTGCTGTTTGACGAAAAGTTAATCCCGGTCTGTTCAGTGTAGGGGTAGAAGGATAACCTCGGGAAGGCCAGGGACTGGAGGGGGCGTGTGGAAAGAGGGAAAGCGGGGTAAACTGGGAACCCTCTTACCAGAACAGAAGTCAGCATGCCCTCGCCTCCCCCGCCATTCCCTGTCTGCGTATCTTTTATTCCAATGGAGGAGTCAATGTGGGGCCGGGTTTGACGCTTGGCTCTGACTTTTAGTGACTTCAGTATTCTCGTGAAGTTACCAACCTTCCCCCACGGGTCCTCACTTATCAGCAGGGCTTACTAATATTTCATAGGGTTCTTGTATCAATAAATTAAAATAACACCTAAAGCATCTAGCCCAGTGCTTGGGGTAGAGGGGCTTCTCTCCCTTCTCTCCAAATAGGGAATTTCTGTTTGAAAGTTAACTTGTAAAATTGTTTCCGGGTAGTACATAGGAGGTGCCCTTGCATTGTTAAAGGGGACCGTTTTATAGATTGGATCCAGAAAGAATACTGATTGCATGGAAATATTTCCCGTTGGGGTCCAGTCAGCAGAATATTTCTTGGTCATTAAAAAGATTTGGAACTAGATATGTGTCATTTGCTGAGTTTGAGCTAGGGTGGGAGTTTTCCTGCCTTTGCTTTGTCTTTTGACTGAATGAAGGGGCACTAGTTGGCTCTCCAGCGTCTGTACATTCCCCTGGCCTAATGGTGTTACAGCGCTCTTGTGGTCTAGTAATTTGTAGTGCAAAATTTTGTCTCCTTTTGAAGATTAGTTTCTGTGTGTCAGTCACCGAGGTTCATTCTGACTAGAAACCAGGGTTTGACCAGCTGAGATAGGAACTGTATGGAACCACATTTTCATCCCAGTGCCTAATTAGAAGGTTAAACTCTCCAAAATGAAAGGCCTGCATACCTCAGAAAAAGAAGTATGTGGGTGGTGGTGATGATGATGGGGGTGAGAGAGGAAGAAGGGAGTGTTCAGCTTAGCATTCAGCAGACCTGGGCTACCGTCTTTCAGACTGAGGTTTTCATTCAAAAGACTTGTTCTCCCCTCCCACATCCCTTCTTTTTTTTTTTTTTTTAAAGATTTATTTATTTATTGATTGATTGATTGATTTATACATACATACATACAAGCACTGGGTACAGTCAGAAGCGCGGGAGGGTGAGAGAATTCACCAGAGCCAGAGCGGGGAGCAGAGCAGGCAGAAGGACCGAAGTACACTGCTGAGGGGAGCAGCGGGCGGCAGGAGAGGTCTGCGTGCCATGTGGGACCCTCCTCCGGTGGCCGGGGAGCAGCCGGGGATCGAACGGGTGCTGCAGAGGCTACGGGCAGCTTCGCAACCCAGCACTCAACCGCTGCACCACTGGGGAGGCCCCCACATCCCTTCTTTACTTAGAGATTTGTGGAGATTAGTAGAGTGGAAAAGCGGTAGAAAATTCAGATAAGTGGAAGAAAGAAAATAAAAACTATGGATGATCCTGCTTTTCCAAGAAAACCATTACTATCATTTTTATGTATTTTTCTGTGTGTATTCAGATTTTTCTGTGTGTATTCAGATTTTTCTGTGTGTATTCATATTTAAGACAAAGTAGTGTCATGTAGTTAATACTCTCTCTCAATGGCTTTATTCAATCATCAGTGTATTGTGACTGTTTCTTATACTGACATACATTTCGACAGCTTCTGGTTATCTTTGTTTTCTGGTAATAGAAATAATGTGTGTTTTGTCAGAAAAAAATCTTAGGGAGTTTGGAAATAGCTAACAGAAAATAGAAGTTTCCACATAAGCCAATGAATCATTGCTCAGTAATCCTTTTTAATGTCTGTTAGTATTCTGCTGTATGCTTGGATTAAAATCCTGAGCTAATCGTAATAGTTTGTGTTGCGCAACCAAAGACAAAGTCTGCACTAACCATGGTGTTGTGAGTATCTTTGCACACAGCTCCCGTGCTGGTGCCCAGTTATGACAGTGAAGCCAGGACAGTGCATTAACATCGTAGGTTCTGTTAAATTCCATCCTCCAAATGATCATGCAATCAGAAAGTTGATTCTGTGATCAGCATTGTTTGGGGAATGTCGTTCTGCTTTTTCCTTAAAAACAGACATTTTTACTGGCTTGAATTTTTTTTGATTTGAAGTTATTTTTGATAATAAGGTAAGTTTAACTTTTCCACAGGCTTAGGGCATGTGTATAATCCTTTGTGAGTTACTTGTTTGCACATTTTTAAAAAAGGAAATGTCCTCTAAAACCAAGTGTTTTCTCATTGCACATCATTAGTATGACCTAGCAGATGCTTTAGTCCCCCTTTTTTTTAAAGATTTATTTTATTTATATAAGAACTGGGGTACAGGCCAGAGGCGCAGGAAGGTGAGAGAATTCACCAGAGACAGGGTGGGGAGCAGAACAGGCAGACGGACCGAAAATACTGTTGAGGGGAGCAGTGGGCCAGACAGGAGAGGTCTGCCGTGCCATGTGGGTTGCTCCCAGGCAGGCCGGGAATCGAACCAGCACTGCAGAGGCTGCAGAGAGCCTCACACCGCTGCGCTCAACAAAATGAGCTTATGTATAATGAGAGAGTTCTCACCAGTGGAGGACCTTGCTAGCTGGAAGGTCAGTGCTGACCTGGGAACTGGGAGATTCCTGCTTCACCACTCTTGTCCTTCTGAGGAGGGTGCTGGGCCCTCAGTGCCGCTCTCCAGCTGCTTTCTGGTAGGGATTTTCTGGCACCATCTCAATTTGGTCTCCAAAGTCCTCTTGATACCTGCAGTTGTCCCTGCACTGGTGGGGAGTGAGTGGGACTGCTGTCCACTGCACTGAATCAAAGACAGGACTTCTTGGTTGTTCCCTAAGTTGGTGAAAAACAATCAGTGTGGACTGACAATGTTACAACACCATCTCTTCTTTTTCTTATTTTATCATGCTGGCAGTGCCCACAAATTATCAATCCACATACGACATTTTAAAGTAAAGCAGCTTATATATGTTGGTGCATATAGTTTAAATTTTGCATTGTGATGCTGTCTTGTCTTACTATACCACTTGAAAACGTTTTAAGGGGGAGGGTGTGTGTGTCTGTGTGTCTGTGCATGTGAGCTGAGGTTGAGTGTGACAGTAAGATTGAAAAGGAGTTATGCACCTGGATGATCTCTCCGGAGGGGTGCAGATAGGTGTTCCAGCTAAACAACCAATTTTTGAATAAACTCACTAGGGTTTCTTAGAGGATTGTGACAATGTCCTTCCTGGCACTGCAGATGATTAACTAAAGGAATTGTGAAGCACCTTGTAGCACGGTAGCTGTCACATGGGAGGTGCTGGCTAAGAGATGGCGTTCACACATTCATATCTGAGGACATCTTTCCGTCATTTCAAGTTATTTGTTGAGAGACTGCTTTGTGCCAGGCACGGGCCAGGTGCTGGTGGCACTGCAGAGTCTGAAAAGGCTAAAATATCTTTTCCTCATGGAAAAGACGGAGCTACTAATACTCTGGTGAGGGGAGGTCATCACAAGCTAAATCAGGGGTGTTGTTGCAAGGCACTTGGTTGTTGTTGAAAGAAGAAGGATTTGTGGTGTCAACTGGGACGGTCAGGGGCAGGAGGCCTGCGTCTAGGCCCATCTTGACACAAACTGAGTAGGTGATTTAACTCTTGAGTTTCAGTTTCCATGTTTAAAAGAGAGGTGAGAGTGAATCTGTTGCAGAGCGTCAAGTGAAATAATCTGGGAAGTGATCCCCAGCTCTGAGCTGGAAGAGAGTTGTCGGTGCCCAGGCAGGTGCCCTGCCTGCTGGCTGTCACAGGCTGCAAGGCCCTGGTCTGCCCAGGCGGTGCAGAGCTGTGTTCTGGAAGGAAAGCTGCAGTGAGGCAGAGCAAGGGAGGGGGTTGGGGGGAGGTGTGGCTGAGTGTGTGAAGGGGAGAAATAGAAGCATCCAGATTCTTTGCTGTGTTGTTTCTTCGGCAGACCTGTCACCAATTGATTCTGCATTCCTGTTTCAGCATCTAATCAAGTGTTTTACAGTCTAGTTTTGGGGAAATAAAACGTGTGTGTGTGTATGTGTGTGTGTATGGTTGCATGTATTTACAGAGATAAAGTTCAAAATCATCACTAAATAGATTTTCTTTAAAATGATGAGGAATAGGGCCTGGCCTCCCCGGTGGCACAGCGGTTGAGCGCTGGGTTGCGAAGCTGCCCGTGGCCTCTGAAGTGCTGGTTCGATCCCCGGCTGCTCCCCAGTCACCAGAGGAGGGTCCCACATGGCGCGCAGACCTCTCCTGCTGCCCGCTGCTCCCTCAGCAGTGTGCTTTGGTCCTTCTGCCTGCTCTGCTCCCCGCTCTGGCTCTGGTGAATTCTCTCACCCTCCTGCGCTTCTGACTGTACCCAGTGCTTGTATAAATAAATAAATAAATCTTTAAAAAAAAAAAAAGATGAGGAATAAGTGTCTGGGAGGAGGGAGTGTCTGAGAGTGGGTGGTCAGGGGAAGCTTCTGGCAGGAGATTTGCTGTGACTCCTGAAGAGGGAGGGGTCAGGTTTTGTTTTTTTCCTTTTTGGAGAATTAAAGAGACACTGGCACTTCCCAGCTGTGTTCCATGGCACCTTGGTCCTGACGCTTGCCCTGGCAGATGTTTTGAGGGTCAGCAGAGTTTGCAGAATCATCGTATCCTCTGTCACCCATGTGGAGGCTCATGTAGGGCCTTTCAAGGCATTGGTGTTCCTGTCAACTTTAAAGTAAAGGGACCTGCTGGACTGTGTGGCTCGGCAGCACTGGCCCTGCACTTGACCTGCATAACAAGCCAGAAAGCTCAGCAGGCTTGGTGCTGCGGGGACACTGCTGCCACCTGTCTCCCGCTGACTTACCCTTCAGAGAATAGAGTTGTCATTTCTCTCTGTCACCATATTTACAGAGCATTTTGAGAGCATTAAGAATCATAACTGTATGTCTTCAAGGTTAGGAGAAAGAAGTTCTCCAGCAAGCCCAAATAGGACAGTAGCTAATGAGGATCACACACTTCTGGATCTCAGTTGTTTCATTTTGTATTTTTCTTTTCTCTGTCACTTATTTTGTTTCATTGAAATGCTTTATTTGTAAGGAAAAAGAATGGCTTAAAGTTGGAAATGGAGGCATTTTAAAGACTCCCATTTTAACAGAGCTGTTTCCTCCCTCCTCGAAGGTCTACTACCCAAACTTGGGATGGATGTGCATTGATGCCACCGACCCCGACAAGGGGAACTGGCTGCGCTATGTGAACTGGGCTTGCTCCGGCGAAGAGCAGAACTTATTTCCGCTGGAAATCAACCGGGCCATTTACTATAAAACTTTAAAGGTAAGAACTGAAAGGTTAGAACTCACCTGCTGTTGTGTGGGGTACTCTGCACCGCTGCCATGCTAAGTGGCGACTGACAGTAACGCCTTTGCAGACCTTGAGAGGGTGCTACTTGAGAGCTTTGTCAATGCCTTGAAAGGCCGTTTTTTTTGGTTTTTTTTGTGGGACCCTCGCCAGCAGATGGGGAGCGAACCGGCACTGCAGAGGCTGCGGGCAGCCTTGCAGCCCAGCGCTCAACCGCTGCGCCACCAGGGGAGGCCCAGAAAGGCCGTGTTTTAAATACATGCTGCCACCCTCGTGTGTAAGGCGTGGGAGCGGGAGGGTGGTGGCAAGTAGTCACGTACTGCACTTCACAGCTGCTGAGGAGTTAAGTGTGCAGCCCCCACCACCACCCCTGAGAGACAGTGCGTGGGCAACTAACTGCCTGACGGGCAGGAAGCTCCCAGCAGCCTCGGCGGTTGTGTTAACCGAAGACACAATCTTAGTCTCGGTGTATGTAGCTTCAGATTAGCATTTCTGGTCCCTAAATTTGATTCAGAATGGAAATGAAACAAAATATGTTTCTCCCTTCTGTAGGATTTGTGTTTGGAGACATCTCAACATCATTGTTGAGATGAACAGGAGAGGAAAGTCACTCTTTAGAGTTGGCAGGGAGGTCAGCGGGCACGCTGGGGAGTTGCATTAGGAAGTGAGGAGAGCGGCTGCCGCCCCAGTTTTCCTGTTCTCTTGGCGGCAAATCTGCACGCATTATGCATGGCAGTGTTCCTGCAGGCAAGTCTTGAGGCTCTAAAGGAGATGGTTGTCCCTCTTGGGAGTAGATATATTTGCTGCTTAGATTGCTTCATGCAAATTTCTCTTTATTCAAGTCCATTAAAGATACAGATGGGGGGCAGTGAAGGATCTTCGTGTAGTTGCAAACGCCATGAGCACGCCTTCGCAACAGCGGTCAGCTCTGCGGGGCTGGGCCTGGCGCGTGGGGGAGCACGACCCCCTCTGAGATCCCAGAAGAGAGAGTTTGACTTCCCTTCGCTGTTTTCCTGGCATCTGAAGCCTCTTGGCCTGCCCTTGATCTCAGCTGTACCCACGTCCTTGCTCCCAGTCTTGGAGGAAATTTCATTCGCCTGCCACCTTCTTGCCTGTTTTCTTTCTGTTGGATTGCAGTGGCATGATTGACTGGTAGGGACTGCTATACACAGGAGCGCGAAATTGGATTCAAAATTGGATTCAGGAATTCATTGTTTTTCAAATTGATTTAAAGTGAGTACATATGGTTGATTCAGTGAGGTGTGGAATCCTGGCGGAGGTAAAATAGTAGCAAGAGGATGAAGGTGAGACTCTGGATAGAGGAAATGAGGTTTCCATGGGGGAGCAAGTCCAGAGGGGCATCAGGACACGTTGCAGGTCCTTCATCAGACTTGAGGTTCGGCCGTGTTCCTCTCTGGCAGCAGGTCCTGGGAACATGGAGCAGCAAGAGAGAACAGGGCTTGGGAGCGTGACCATTGAGGCCAGACTGCCTGGGTTAATCCTGGCTGGCCCTGCAGCCCTCAGCCAACTCACCTTTCTGTGCCTCAGCTACCTGGTTTGCTACGTACAGATAATTACATTCTGACTTAGTGGCCACGGGGAAGAGCATGTGCTTTAGCTGTCGCTGCACCCGTTAATCTGAGAGTTGGGGCTGAGGTCTGAACTGTGACTTTTTAAAGATGGTGCTGGGAAGTGGATTATAGGTAAACAAGTGGTTGGTGTTTGTGTCATTCTGAGTATTTCTCTAACTCTGACCTAGTATTTCTTAGTGACCTTGTTCTCATAATTGGACTGGTAAAAATCTAAAGTTTATATTTACTGCTATTAAGAGAAGAGAGTATGCTTGGTTATCTAAGTCTGTCAAAACCTAAAGGAAAACTTAGAAGATGTCTTTCCATTGCTTTTTATTTTTGCTTTTAGTGCTTTTAAAATATTAAGACATTTATATAAAAAGTAAGGTGTTTGTACTTTAGCTTTAATCTTTAAAATGTGAGTTTATATTTCCTCCGTGTGTGTGTTCTGAAGTTTGACTTATAAAATCTTAAACGTACTAAGCAGTGCAGAAGCAAAAAACAGTAGAGCACAGAAGCAGACAGATTTAAAAAATACTTTATTGCCTCTTCATAAAGGTCTATTATATATGTAGCTGACTTCATGAATTTGGAAAGTACACAACTCTCTAATAATTTTAGTCACTAGCAATTGTGATGGTTGTTCAGTAGCTAAACAAGTCAGGCTCTTCATCTAGCTGTTCCCCAGCTCGTTAATCATTAAGGAATTTCATATTAGATTGGAGGAAAAACAGATTCTGGCATATTTTTATAATTTTTGTTTTACAATGCCAAGAGTACCCTCCTATGAAGAGTTGGGTGCTGGCGCTGTCAGCTCTGAGGGGGAGGCAATGAGTGGACATGGGCATGGTTGCCTTGAATCTGGAGGGTCCAGCCTGTCCTGCAGGTGTTGCCAGCACTGTTTTGGCTGTGATGCGTGGGTTGGCACTAGATCAGGAATAAAATCTTCTTCACTCCTTTTCTACTTTAGTTTTATTTAAGATTTTATATACTTCAGCACACCCTGAACATTTCAGATTTTATATATCAACACATTATAAATAGGAGACATAAAAATTAGAGAAATAAACTATGTTTGGAACTAGTATTTGGCTTTTTAAAAAGCCTATTCTTTCAATAGAAACACTGATTTATCAGAATGCCAACAAATGTCTGTAATCATTTTAACTCACGAACAGCTTATAGTTGATTTAAGATTTTCGGTTTAGATATCATTGATTTGAGAAGGGGAATTATACTTTGGTCAGAGTTAAGAAAACTGCATCTTTTAGCCATCCTTGGGATAGGGGAGCAAAGGAAACAGTGGCTTTTTTTTTCTTTTTTTTTTTTTAATTTAAATTTTATTTTTATATTCCCCATACAATTACAACCCCCTTATTTTGACCGCAAGCCCTCCTTTCCCCGCCCCCACCCCCCTCCCTCCATAGAGTATCTCTGGTTCATAGTTGTTTGTTGATTTTGATTATTTTCTTTCTTATAGTTATTCGGCTTGTTTTATTTTAAAAGAATTTAGAATATTTTGAGGCCTCCCTGGTGGCACAGGGGTTAAGTCTCAGCGCTATCAAGCTATCACCAGCCACTGCAGCACAAGTTTGATCCCCAGCCAGGGAGCTGACCCACCTGGCGGCAGCAGACCTCTCCTGTCTTGCCTGCTGCTCCCCTCAGCAGTGTATTTCAGTAGATCCGCCTGCCCTGTGCTCCCCACTCTGTTTCTGGTGAGTCCTCTCACTGCCTCCCCTCCCTCCCACCTCTGGACTACACAACCCAGTTCTTTTATGCATGAATAAATTTTTAAAAATAAAGAATTTAGAATATTATGAAATTTGGACTCTTTATACAAGAGTTCTGTAGAGATGGAAACATAATACTTTTGAGGGCTAAACTGCTATGTTTCTAAATGGATTTCTTAGCTGGGACCCTCTACCCCAGAAAACACCAGAGGAGGGCATCCTGCTCTGTGAGCTTGGCTGTGGCGGGATCCAGGAGCGGACCTGGTTGTTAGGCAGCCCACACACCTCACTCCTGTTTTTGTTCCAGTCAAAAACTTTGCGTTCACTGCCTTAGTTTGAATGGTACCTCGGTGTTTGTCTTCTATAACCTTTTAGTCTGGAGAAGAACCGATCAGTGGTTTGTAGAACATCCCAGTTGGGGCTTCGCTTGTGCTCCATCACGATGAAATCATGTTTTATATTTTGGACAGAAATCTCCAGAAGTGAAGCTTTGTTCTTTTCCGCGCAAGCAGGTGATGTCAGTCTCTCTCTGTGTTTTTTCCCTTTGTAATTTATGTTTTGTGCAGAGATGTTTTGAGACTCTGCACAGATGTTTTGACATAGTCTCTCACTCCTCAGGCCTTCACCTACTTGTTTGCCTCCATCCATGATTCATGCCATCATCAATTATTGCCCTGTTGATTGCCTCCCGGTGACTTTCTAATTTCCTGATTTCTTTCTCATGGGCTAGACCTCTTTCAGGAGGCGCTTTCCTCCTTACTTGTTTGCTTGGTGGTGGTCCATTCACTCCCACATTCGTGTCTATCAGTGTGGACGCGTGGATTTTTATTCACTGGGTTTTAGTGACTTTAGTAGAACCCGCTGGGAATGTCACTGGTTTTGATAGTCCAGGAACAGGAGCAGGAGAACCCCATGGCCTTTTCCTCCACCTCTGTCCCGTGAGGCTCCGCTCCAGGACCCTGTTCCGGGCGGTCGGCGGCCTGGCGCTGCTCCGCGGCTGCTGCGGACGGGGCTTGGCGGCAGCAGGCAGCACCCCCAGGCCGTCCTTCCTGGCCTTTGCAACCCTGAAGGTGATCCAGGCACCTGACGTCCCCGTGGCAGGGCGGGTGGGGGCGAGGGCCTGGGGGGGCGGCCGTGGTCGCGGGGGGCGGTGGCCGTGGTCGCGGGGGGCGCCGGGGGTCGCGGTCCTTCCCGCGTGCCCGCCGCGCCCCCGGCCGCGGGCGGCGGGCGTGGGCTCTCGGCGCGCCCCTTCCCGGGCCTGCCGCCCCTCACTCCGCTTTACTTTTGATGAAACCCCCTCAGCCTGTCCCCGGCTGAGACCTCCCGGCAAGATGGACCCGAGTCCCGCTGTCCCCGGCGCGGGCCGCGGGCGGGCGGGCGGGCGGGCGGGCGGGCGGGCGGGCGCGGGCGTGCGGTCCTCCCGCCGGCAGGGGCCCCGCGCGCGCCGCCCGCGAGCCCGTCCTGCCGCCGCGCCGCCCCGCCCGCCAACAAGCGCCGCTCTGATTGGCCCGGCGCCTGTCTCTTCTCTCCCGCAGCCAATCGCGCCGGGCGAGGAGCTCCTGGTCTGGTACAATGGGGAAGACAACCCCGAGATAGCCGCGGCGATCGAGGAAGAGCGAGCCAGCGCCCGCGGCAAGCGCGGCTCCCCGAGGGCCCGCAAAGGTAGGCGCCCCGCGGCCCCGCCGCCTCGCCGGGGCCGGGCCGGGCCGGGCGGCGCCCGCGGCGCGTGACCTTTTCCGGACTCGGCGGCCGCGCCCGCCCCGCCGCTGCTGAATCACGGCGGCGCCGGCGCCTCCGCGGCCCAACGCCGGCGCCGGGGCCCGCGCTGTCCGGCTGCGGCGCCGCGGGCGGACGGGGCCGGCCCGCAGCCCCCGCCCGCCCCGCCCCGCCCCGCCCCGGCCCGGCCGCCCCCCCGCCCCGCCCCGCCCCCCCGGCCCGCCCGGCCCGGCCCGCCCGGTTGCGACACCCGCGGGCGGAGGCCCCGCGCGGCACCGGCCGGGTCGGCCCCGGCGCGGCGAAGTTGGAGACGCGCCGCGCTGCCGCGTCCGCGCCGCCGGGCGTAAGTTTGGGGTGTTTTCACACAAAAGGTGAAGCCCGGCCGCGCCGCGGGAGGGGGGCCTTCCGCGGGGCGGGCGGGAGCCCCAGCCGGCGGCTCCGCGCCGAGGCAGCGGGGGAAGCCCGACCCCGCGGAGCCCGGCCGGGGAGGGACCTGCCCGCGCGCCGCCTCCCCCGGCCGCGCGAGCCCCCGAGCTCGGGCTGTTGTCAGAGCATCGCGAAGTGCGCTGTGGAGTCACGCTAGAAGGAAGATCTAACATGAACTTGATTTTGGAAAACTGTGAAAATAGTACTTATAATTAAGAAGTCTGTTCTTTTCCCAGTAGGTGTTCTTTGTATTTTGTGGCCTGATACAAATACGACTAACTCCAGGGGTCACACTCTATGGGCCGTTTACTAAATCCACATTGTTTTCGACCTGATTTTGGCCCAACTGTAGGTGGTTAATGCTTTGAGACTGAGTCATTTGATCAGGCTCTAGAAAGAATAGTTCTTTAGAAGTATTGGGATTTTGTGGATAATGCGCATTTGCCAGTTCTTCACATAGTTCAACTTGTTCCTTTATTAAGTACTCATTTTGTTTATAACTGATGGCACCGACCTTCCCAGGTAAGTTGTGATTTGCAGGGGCTAAAGGAGAGAGGGGAAGTCTTTCCTCTGCCACTCAGCCCAACTAACTCGTCTGTTTAAGTATATGTTCGTAGCCTAATAGCAAGTTTAAGACTTTTTCTCAGTTCAGCATGCTTTGGTGTGCGTATTTAGAAAATTTCGGTACAGTCTGCTTTTTGATTTTTGTTTATTTTTTTTCTGTTAAGTTAGTTGGGTATGGAGGAAGAAACTTAACCTTATGTTTTATTGGTGATATATGAACTTACACGTTTTCATTTTTATACTTGCCTAGGTTGCTGGGTTTTATTTTGAGTGAAGTAGTTCATATTTTTCATTATCCTGTTATTTTTCTAACTACTCTGAGCAGCACATAACCCGCTGAATCATAGGCTTCAATTAAAATACTTGCATGAAACTCACTCTTGGAACTTACATTCAGTTTTGATCAGCTTATTGGTAAAGAGTCCTGTTTGCTCTTGTTTTATTTTATTTTTTTAAAGATTTATTTATGCATACAAGAACTGGGGTACAGGCCAGAGGTGTGGGGGGTGAGAAAATTCACCAGAGACAGAGTGGGGAGCAGAACAGAAGGATCCACTGAAATGCCCTGCTGAGGGGAGCGGCTGGTGAGTCAGGAGAGGTCTGCTGTGCCATGTGGGTTGCTCTCTGGCAGGTCAGGAATCGAACTAGTGTTGCAGAGGCTGCGGATTGCTTCATAGTGTGGTGCTTAACCCCTTGCGCCACCAGGGAGGCCCGCCTGTTTGCTCTTTATGACCTAAAGTTTGGAGTGTTTATATAATGAGCCAAACCTTTTTGGCTTTTAAAAGAAACACTCCAAAAGCTAATTTATAGCTTGCGAAGATCTGAAATAGAGACCTTTTTATATTAGGTCTATTTAGGTCTTTTTAGGTTCTATTTAGGTCTTATGTGTGACTTCAGTTATTTAAATATCTTTCTAGGCAGTGATGTCAGAGTAAATGGACGTAAATTTCACTCAGCCGCAGTGTTCATTTAGCATTTTTGAAAGCCAGATGTCGGAAGACATGCAGCTGACCCGTAAGTTGACAGTGGACCTAACTTCCCTTCAGTTAGGAGGGCAGGCAGAGGAAACAAAGGGTGGAATTCTTCATCATTCTGGGCCCTGTTGCCTTAGCGTGACAGCTGCTCTGCTTACAGTTGTGCATTGCAGGTGGCACCCTTCAGAATTCATCAGCTCACCAGTGGACCAGGAGGTGTGTTCTGGGCAGTGAAGCGCTCCGATTCCTTTACTACACTGTGGCCTCATCTCTCTCTCATTCATTTTTTCATTCATTTAAGTGTGTTTGTTAAGCCCCTGCTACATGCCACCCACCCTGCCAGGTTGTCCAGCACGATGATGAGCAAGACCTGGTAGTGACTTCTCCTGGCGCCTATAGTTGTGGGAGACGAACGTTAAATCTGTAAGTGACCGATGTGCTCCCAGATGCTTGGCATGAAATAGGCCTGTTGTTGGCCAACAAAGACACACACAGACCTGTAAAGAGGAAAAGAACGCAGCGCTTGGAGAACACAGTTCATATTGTCTCTGCCCAGGGAGCATGCAGTTTTGCCAGGGGCCAAAGTTGTACGTACATTAGACCTTTCCAGCTAAAATTCTGGATTCTCTGCTTTGTGATTCAGCTTAACTTCCTACATGTCTGAGCAGCCCCTGTAATGAGATTGGACATGAGCAGTTTGTCCTTGGCTGGGACAGAGTAAACTTTTCAGGTAGAGGGAAAGGGAACGTTTCTAGTGTTGGGTGTGTCAGGTTATTTTTAATTTGAACCACAGGAAGATTATCATCTATGACATAAAATAAAAAAAAAATCCCACTTAGCAATATTTACTGTCTTCTCCCTCTCTGTCCTGTGTTAGTTACTGCAAGGAAGGAGAGATTGAAAGTTTTTTTATCTTAAAGGAACAGCAGTGCCTTCCACAAATGGGCTTAGTGGACGACTTGAAAAATGTAGGGCCCAGGGGTTTTTACCAGGTGTGTGACTGGGTAGACCTTGTCGCTTTTTGAGGTCCAGTTTCCCTGGCTTTAAAAGTGGGTTTAATAGTACGACCCTGCTGGTGCTGCCCCCTCACAGGTGCCCTCAGGAGCACGGCAGAGCATAGGAAGCAGCGTTATTTATAGAAGCAGGTAGTTTTACAGCTGGACAGTAAAGAAGAAAGAAAGTTAACAGCAAAACCTGTGATGAAACACTCTGAAGAGCGTGTTCCTCAAGGAATTAAGCTGCACATCCTCCTTCATAAAGAGCATGGAGAGTCCGCCGGGTAGCAGCTAGCACATGGTATTTATCCAGGCGGCCTTTATTCAGTACAGAACTGGTAAAATGTAATCAACTTAAAGAAATCTTTTGTCTGTTTTTTACAATCAAAATTGTTCAAATAAAAGGCCTTGGTAACTGAACAACACGCAGGTATTTTGAGGTTGTACATGTTTGAAATTCTTCTCCAAAGGTGATGAATAACTGACGCCTGTAGAAACTTAAGTCAATTGAGGCAGGTAAGAGATCCACAGAGGCAGGTTTTTTTTTAAAAAGTGCTAAACTAATGGCAGTGCCAGGAGACTGTTGACCTTGAGGGAAGGAAAAGGGAACGGGGTGGGGGGGGGTGCTGGCATGGCAGGGAGTCTGTTTAGAAAGGGTGCAGGATGGGCACTTTTCAGAATGCAGGAGAAACAGGGAGGACATGCGGAGTGTGCAGGAGGCACTGGGACTGTGAGCAGGTCAGAGACGTGGGAGCGGGTGACTGGTCCCCCTCCCATTACTTAAAAGCGTTTGCTCTTCTAGTTGCAGCAGAAAACAAAATGACAGAGGTTCCTGCCCTTGGGAATTAGCGTGTGGGGGCCACAGCCAGCAGGGAACGGATAAGTCCTGTAGTGTTGGCAGCGTGTGAGGGCGGATGAGGCACAGGGTGACCGAAGCTGGGGAGCCAAGAGATGGCTTTTCGGAGGCTGTGACTTCAACGCCACAGAACTACCCCGTGACAAGCCTTAGGGGTGAGCGCTCCAGGAAGAGGGACCAAGCCAGTAGCCAGTTGGGAAATTCATTGCTGGGATGGTGCATAGTGGGGGCCACCTTGAAACTTCTGCAGATGGACTTAGTGGCTGTGTTTCTGTCAGGCTTTGGAAGCTAGTGGCCAGTTGGTAGGGAAGATTGAAGAGAAGAGTAAAACTTTAGAGCTTAGGGTCCAGGAAAGGGTCCATGTTATTGCAGCTCAGTGCATTCAGCTTCGCTGGGGCCTTTATGGGTGTGATGCCTGGACAGGCACAGGGGAGGGAGCCGGGTCAGTAGAAGCCCTTCGGGTGAGGCAGTGATGCTGCTTCACGATGGGGAGGAAAGAGAGAGCAGTGTGTAGGGTGGAGAAAATCTCCATCACAGGGCACTGCTGGACAGCAGGTAGAAAACAAGCTACTAGAGGCTCTGCCTGGCAGAGGAGGGGGGTGCTGCAGCCAGAAGAGAGAGAGTAGTGAGCGCCAGCAGAGCCGGCACTCCACCCTCTCCAGGAAAGAAGAGTGACCTAGTGAGGTGCCAGAACTTGAACCCAGGCCTGTTCCTCTACCTAATAGACTGGGCTGCTGTGTGTCCACTTCCATAGGCCGGCGGCAGAGGCAGCCCTTGTTCCATTTAAAATTATGTATGATCAGAGCATAAAAGCAGAGGACACGGTGGAGTTGTTGGGGGATTGATGTCCTGACAGAGGCCTGCCCATGGTGCCTGAGACTGATGGCCGATGGGCCCTGAGGTTCTGGGTGCCCGGTGGGCAGATCAGGTCCTGTGCCCACTTACTGACAGACACTGAGGTGTGGTTGTTTGCAAGGCTGGAGCAGGATGTAGGGTGCTTGGGGTGGAGACGTACCTCTGGGAATGTGGCCCCAGCTTTAAACGCCATGGGCTTACTAGCTTGTCACCTGGGGAACCCGGGGAAGTGTCCTCACCCCTCATGTAGCTCTGGCTCCCCTCGAGCCAGTGCTG